AATGACGTCTCTGCTTCTGATGATCTTTCGATTTTCGTAGTCCCAAACCGATAACCGAACTCATCACCGCCATAACCAACAAGGCACATTTGTTGGACTTAGCATCAAGTTTACTTCTTTCAGAGTCTATGTGTATGTAAGAAATACAACCAAACACTCTTAAGTGTGAAAGGTTTATTTCTTTCTTGCTCCAAGCTTCCTCTGGTATTCCGCCATCCAAGGAACTGAGGGCCCACGGTTGATCAGGTAAGCTGCAGTGTTGATAGCTTCAGCCCATAGAAATTTGGGCAATCCGGCATGTATTCTCATACTTCTAGCACGTTCATTCAGAGTTCTGTTCATGCGCTCAGCTACGCCATTCTGCTGCGGTGTTATGGGAACTGTTGTCTCCATCTTGATCCCATTGTTTGCGCAGAAATCTCTGAATCTATTGTCTCTGTATTCTCCTCCATTGTCAGACCTCAACCGCTTGACTTTCAAACCAGTCTCATTTTCCACCATGGCCTTCCATTTTCTGAAGGTATCAAAGACTTCTGATTTCTTCTTCAGAAAATAAACCCACACCTTCCTTGTTGAATCATCGATGAAGGTGACATAATATAGTGAGCCTGCAAGAGATGGAACTGGGGATGGTCCCCATACATCAGTATGAATCAATTCTAACCTTTCTGCCTTGGGTGCCTTGCCAATCTTTGCAAAACTGACTTTCTTTTGTTTTCCAAAGATGCAATCCTCGCATAGTCCGACATCCACATTCTTTAGATCCGGCAGCTTCCCTTTTGACAGAAGTATCTTCATTCCTTTCTCGCTCATATGGCCAAGCCTTTGGTGCCATAGGTTTGATTTTCCATCAGCATCTGCTACTGCAATGATATTCTCTAAATTTGAGGTTACATAGAGAGTACCAGTCTTCTTACCACGAGCAATGACGAGTGCTCCTTTGGTAATCTTCCATTCACAACCTGAAAAGGTTGTACTATATCCTTCTCCATCAGCTGTCCAACAGAAATCAGATTTCTTTTGAGGCCAGGAATATGTCTCACTCCTGTCAGCTTCCAGGTGGTCTGGTTTGGCAGCTTTAGTCGGATATCTCCTTTTCCGACGATCTTCAAGGTTTCATCATCAGCAAGATGAACCTTCCCAAAATCACCACTGACATAGTTCTCCATGATTTCTTGGCATGACGTGGAGTGGAAAGATGCCCCTGAATCCAAGATCCATGATTCAATCGGACTGTTGACGCTTAGAATCATGGCATCACCTGTCTCCTCTGTCACGTTGGCAGATTCCTGTGCACCGGTATCTTTCTTCAGTGCTCGGCAATCTCTTTTAAAGTGACCTTTCTTGCCACAATTATAACAGGTAAATTTCTTTCCCGTTCTGGATTTTTCCCGTCTGGATTTGGATCTGCCACGATTTGAATTTCTTTCTGAAGTTCTCCCTCTGGACTCCGTGTGCAAGGCTGAGGAGGTTGATGCTTCACCCGATTCTCTCCGTCGAATTTCTTCGCTCAGTACCAGATCCCGAACATCGTCGAATTTCAATTTACTATTTCCCGACGAGCTGCTAACTGCTGTAACAGTAGCATTCCAACTGTCTGGTAGAGATGATAAGAGAATTAAAGCTCGAACTTCATCATCGAATTCAATTTCCACAGAACTCAACTGGGTTGTGATTGTGTTGAGTTCATTCAGGTGTTGAGCCACTGATGCCCCTTCCGTCATCCGCAAATTGAATAATCGCCTCATCAAGTGAACTTTGTTTGAGGCCGATGGCTTCTCATACATACTGGAGAGAGCTGCCATAAGACCTGCCGTGGTCTTTTCCTTTGCTATGTTGAAAGCAACATTTCGGGACAACGTCAGTCGGATAACTCCGAGGGCTTGTCTGTCGAGAAGAGCCCAGTCTTCATTCTTCATGCCCTCTGGTTGCTTTCCTGAAAGAGGTTGATATAGATTTTTCTGATACAGAAAATCTTCAATCTGCATCTTCCAAAAGCCAAAGTCCGCACCATCGAACTTTTCAATTTTCACCTTCCCTTCGTCTGCAGCCATCGCTCCCACTCGAATCTGGCTTCGTTTGGATCGTTTCTGACAATTTCTGCGAACCGCCGTGTATTAGAACACCTCCGTCGACAAACTAGTATCGCCGACCGAATTTTACTATTCACGAAATTCACTATTCACGTGAATAGTAATGAATAGTAATCTCGCAGAAAATTGACAAAATCCACAACCAAAAGCTCTGATTACCAGTTGTTAGGAAATAAACCAAGTACAAGTAATTTTCCTATAACCAGATTAGTGAGAATGCGAAATAAAAGCGGAAAAATAATACCCGAAATTTGATAACGGAGTTCAGCCAATTTATGCTTACGTCTCCGGACTGCTGCAGATCTTTTACTAAGAGAAAATTTACAGGTGTTTACACAACACACTTGAGAGAGAACTAGAAGATTTTGGGATGATTTTGAAGCTAAATGAGCCAGGGTATTTATAGTTGAAACTTAGGGACTAATCTTTGTAAATACCCTAAAGTTCAATGACTAAAAAATGTAATTAATCCTATTACATTTTAATTAAACAATTTAGCAGCCCCCCACTTGTTTAATTAAGCCGCCGGCTGCTTTGCATTTTGACCAACATCAACATCAACTCTTTTCATCGTACCACCAAAGCTCTGGTGAGTTCGGTTTTTCATCAGTTGAGGAAATAAATTGGTTTTTGTTGTTTTAAATCATTGGGCTTATAAAAGGTTTTTTTTTTTTTAAACAGAAGAGAGAATCTGATGGGAAAATGGTCGACTCTGATGTCAGAGTACCAGTTAAACAAGAGGTCAGTTTCTGGATAAGTTGGTTAAAATCGGATCGGACGTCTTGACTAGATTATTTCGGTACTGATTGTTTATTTTGGTTGTAACAGGCTGGAGTTTTGGTGGAGGAATTGAACCGGGTTAGCGCCGAGAACAAGAAGCTAACCGAGATGCTAACAGTTCTATGCGAACACTACACCTCTTTGGAAAACAAATACAAGGAATTGGTGAGCAAGAACTCGGAAAGTGAAGCTGCTGCAATATCTTCAAAGAAGAGGAAAGCAGCCGAGTTTGAGGATTACAGTAGCACCATGATTGGATTCACCGCAAACGCCGAGAGCAGCTGTAGTGATGAAAACTCATGCAAAAAGCCTAAGGAGTGCAGTAAGACCAAAATTTCAAGATCTTGCATACGCACAGATCCTTCTGATAACAGCCTGGTAAGTCCCTAGACTTTTAATTCATCTTGCCAGACAAAGTTAATTAGCCTCCGGGTATCTGAAAATTGTTGTTATGGATCTGTGTTACAGATTGTGAGAGATGGATATCAATGGAGAAAATATGGTCAGAAGGTCACAAGAGATAACCCCTCACCCAGGGCATACTTCAAGTGCTCCTTCGCCCCGAGTTGCCCGGTGAAGAAGACGGTGCAAAGAAGTGCTGAAGATCCATCGATCTTGGTTGCTACTTATCAAGGAGAGCACAACCATTCTCCGGCTGCATTATCGTCATTAAACCCCATTAATGGTGGAGCCGCCAACAACACTCGTTCAGCTGCTGTTTCTTCTTCTTCTTCTGCCCCCGCCAAATCTTCGGCTCCCGTTGTAACTCTGGACTTGATGAAACCAGATGGATGGGATAATGATACCAAGAAACCTACACAACAAGTCGATCAACCGGCAATTCAGCAGATTTTATTTCAACAAATGGCGGCTTCTTTGACTAAAGACCCAAAGTTCACAGCAGCACTAGCTGCAGCCATGTCTGGAAAAGTAGTAGAGCAGAAGTGGTGAAATTCAACCAACTTGGGGAGATATCCATAGTTGTCTAGTTTTTTTCTTTTTGTTGAAATTGGTTGAGAGAGTTAGAATTGAACTGATGTAAATAGAATATTGAATCTAATATTAAAAAAAGGAAAAAAACACAAGGTAATTCTTTGCCGAAGTGATTTGCAGTCCGTTCTTGCTTTTGTTGTCTGATAAGTGGAAACGCCAATACAGAAGGGCAATCCGTTTGCATGCTCAATGAGGAGAACGTACGCTTTTCAACATAATTTTAAATAATATCGAATATAAAAAGATACACTGTCGAACGTTTTAAATGAATCATGAGCTTTTCCTTTATTGTACTGACAATTTGTCTTCTCATTGCCTCTGATTTTCTATAACGATTCCTTTTAAATTCAAACTTTGCAGCCGATGACTCCATATATTGTTCCCGAGCTTAGTCAACTAAATGTCCTTGTCCAGAGCATAATTGAATCAGAAAAATACTCAATGTGATCATAATACATTTAACAAATATATTTTTGTGTACCGAGTCTAGGTTAATTGGACCATTATCGTCCATTAAAACAAAAAAGAACAGGATTGATTGGAAGTTTAATTTTAATTAGGATGGATGTTATATTTATTTTTGTCAATGCAACGAATTGGATGCTGTGGAATAAACCAATTTGAAGTGCTCGACTTGTTGCAGCTACCAGCGAAGGCAATTCAGACATTCTTTTCCTAATATAGCATTATCCATAGCGTCATTGAAATGTGAATTATTCCCATTATAAGAGACGTACGCGTTTTGAACTTTTTCATTCATCCTCTTCTAGAGGATGTCACCCTTTTTTTTCCCTCTAGATAGTGACTTAAATTCATTTCGTCTAGTTTAAAACATTATGTGTATGTATTCGATGGACCCAAGAGAAGCAGTAGAATTGAGGATGAGAAAACATTGGAACGGCTAATCATCTTGAGATCATAATGACATTTACATGCCTGTAGCTAAAAGTTTATGCAAATTAATTAGATGTATGCATATATTTTGCCTCAAAAATTTCTAGGCATCCTAAAAGGGGCGCGAGAGGACCTAATTAAGCCCCGCTTCAAAACCAGAAAGCAAGTCAACGAATGGGCTGACAGGTAACGGCATAACCATGTCCAAACCTTGAATAGCTTTACCATTTGGCCTGGCCCCGCCACCTTCTAAACTAATTACAACTTCTTTTTCTCGCCCTCTAATTATAAACAATACTCTCCTCCACCACATGATAACAGTGATACACCGCTGTAATCGGTTGTTCGGGCTGCATTTCCGGAGTACTTACTTTCATCTTCTCATTTTCTGCCTCCTCTGCTTTCTTCTTTTCCAATTCGAGCTGCTTGTGGTTTTCGACGTGCGCTCGGACAAACATCCGCACAAAGTTGAGCAGAATCGACACAACTATAGGACAAAAACAAAGAAAAAATAATTAAAATAGCAACACAGAGAGCAGAAAACAGCTCGGCAGCTGAGATTCACAAAGGTGCATTCAACAAATTTGTCAACACTAACAACCTTGCTCAAATGTGCACCGTGCCGGATCTTCTCCGAAATAAAGAGACAAGGCATCCGCATTTCTACCCTGAAGACATCCAATTTAGTGTCAATGTTTTTGTTAGATTGTAAGCACACTGAGGAGGTCAGAACAAAAACTCAAAATAATACATACCACGGTAGAATAAAGCAAAGCCAAAGACTTGACTTCACTTTCAGCAAAACCAAAAAACTCCTTTAAGCTCTACATGTAAAAACAAATAAAAAAAGCATTAGCTGATAGCCAAGTATTATGGAGTAAGAAAAATAAGTAGAATAAATACGGTTTATAAGTAGATAATGTATAGGAATTACCAAGCAAAAAGTTTCAGACACTGGACCATCATTTTCTGAGGCAGCCAGTTCTTGTACAACTTTCTCCAACCCTTTACTGATGGCTTGCATTTCCTCGGCCAAATATTTCAGTTGTATCTGCATGTCAATCAACAATTCTACTTAGCATCATATGCCAAAGGCTAAGCGAATCCACTTTGACATCAAAAGGACATAATAGTTTACCTTTGTTGAAGCTTCCAAACTTACAAGGTCTTTTGGAAACTCTAGTAATTCTGGCAACTTATCCTCCAGGACCTGAATATTTGATGCCATTGGCAAGTATAATTAATATTTTCATATAGAATATGTTATTGTTCAATTAAGCAGCTTCTCAACCCAAATACTTTTGCTTTTGAGAATAGAAATGAATACAATAGAATCTCTAGTAAATTATAAACATGCACTCAAAATAAATGATAATGAACTTCAGCGAGCATAAAGAAATAGAAAACATCTTTTAATCAAAAGAGAAGCACGCTCCTTCGAAGCATGTAGCTTTTGTAGAACTAGAAACCACTTGTAAAGAAGCTTGCTCGGCAGGAAAAGATACTGCAGACTAACTTGCTATTGTGTTTTATAATTGTATAATTAAACCCCCATCATTCCAAATGTAAAAACAAAGGAACAGGTCATGCACTTTTCTGCAAGAATTGTTCACAATCTTCATGACTCTCGCATTTTAAAGTTAGTCGTCAACCAAATTAAACGATGAAGTAAATGTCTGCAGACATTCTTTACCAAGTGTGCTGCGGTCTTAAAAACAAACAGAGACGCATTCCCCTTGAACCATAGGAGTATAAGTGCAAGTATACTCAAGTTTTTCAGGCAATCTCAATAGTAAAGATCAGTATCAGGGAAAGTAAGAAAGGTAAATCATCTTTTACCTTGCAAAGATAATGCATGAGAGTCATCTTGTTATCCCGAGATCGAGTCTCACTGAGTTTAAGGAGACTATCCAATCGAAAACCAACAGCAGAACCTGTGGGAGAGAAAGAAACCATAAAGTACTAAAATTGTTGGAGTAAATTGATGTTTCTTCAAAAGATTGAACAGAACTGCCATCAGGGAGAAGAATTTACAGTACTGACAGTAGCACTTGGAGAGTAAAGTTGCCAAATTAGAGCAACATGAAACTCATATAGGTTCCATGTTAGACATTCAGAAATCAATCAACTGTAAAGAAATAGTGACATAGATACTTGTTACATGTTTCTAGTTTCTATTCTAAGGCAAATCAGCAGTGAGTTGATTGACCATGTTACTTATCGGAAAATCTATCTCACCAGACTGGAACAAAAATATATGATTTCAATAAGATTGTCCTAAAAACTACCTCATCAACAAAATCACTCACCCCTTGCAGTTCCACGGTTCAATGCATTTCCCAGACAAAGAATAGTTTGCATGATCCTTTTCAATTTGACTGAATTCCTCACCTGATGTATGCATTTGTCAAATGGTACAAGAGAAAATTTGTTCAGTACAAAAAACAATTCAATGGAATACGAAGAAAAAGAAAGAGAAATTAATTACCTCTTCAGCTGCAGAGTTTACAATATTCAAACAATTTCTAAGGTCATAAATCTGGAAAGGCACAAAAAGTACCAATTAAGTGACAACAAGAAAAAGCATTGCCTACCAATCTGATTAGAGTTTCTTCTCATACCTGGGAAAAGAATTGTATCTTGAATAAGAAAACTCTAAGCTTTGACTCTACCCGTGGCACTTTTATCAGTTCTAGGAAAAACTGTAACCAAATATGAGGCAGATAATCAGATATAATACTTGTTAAAGAACGTGTATAAACGCAAAAAAAGAAAAGAAAAAAAGAATGCGACACTAACTTGTTCACATTTTCCCAACTTGTCCTTATCTCTATTATAACCCTGAAAATAAAAATATGACCATCACTTACAACATGATTATTTGCATAATATACCAAACAATGTCATCAACTGAGACATGATTATGAACATTAAAAATCTTAAAATCATGAAACTATTACTTTAAGATCACAGACAAGGAAAAGATAAAAACATATTTTCAGCACCTTAAGTAATTCCTCCTCTTCTTTTGTAGGACAAAACTTAATAAGGTTCTCAAGCTGATCACAATCTAATGCTGTATCATCTAAGGTAAGGATCGAACTCTGCAAGATAGTGTCAGCAATGCACAAAAATGTAAAAGATCAATTTGGCATTTATTAGCAGTGAAAAAGCATGATATCGGTCTCTTGTAAATCGAACTATAACTCAGAATCTAAGCTACAGTTATCAAGAGAAATACTATATGGTTTATCTTACCGTCAATTCAGGCAAAGGAATTTTGACTTTAGTAAGCATGATTTCACAGTTATATGCTCGCCTAAGTTCAATCTGCAAATTAATGAATTTCTTGTGAGATAGCAAACACAGATAAGATGTTCCATGTATGGAAATGTAGACAGGTTAAAAGACACCAAAAGATCCAGCAGGTTAAAAGACACCAAAAGATCCAGCAGGTTAAAAGACACCAAAAGATCCAGTTTTGTATATATATATATATAAACTGGATTTACAGCCGTGGTTGAGGCAATCAACATAACTAATGAGGGGCTTCAACCTATTCCCAAAAGAAAAAACATGCTAATTACCAGCTGGACTTTCTCAGGTTTACGATTTGAGGCACCTCGATTTGATACTATCATTTGAATTCGCTGCAACAGTAGAGAAAAGACTCTCAAGTTCAGACATGTCAATTTCTGGAGCCCTGGCACAGATAAAAAACATATTACATCTCTACAGAGTAATATGTACTACAATGTTTAGTGAAAAATACGTACTTGGAAGCTTCCTCTGGTTTTTGAGCCTCAGCCCATAAACTTCCTTGCACCGCCCTCGTCAACTTCAACCAATGGTATGGCTTCAAGTTGGATTTTTTCTCTTGAGCCAGTTTTTTAGTACCTATACGTGATATACTGAATCCCTTGAAATTCAAGGGAGCAGCAGGTGGTCCAGGAATTGAAGGTATACTGCCACTTGCTTTAGATAATCCTTTGGCACAAGGGGCTGGAGGAGGTGGTACGGATGGAGCATGTGCAGAGCAATTTGATGAAAGACCCTTCACAGCAACAGTAGGAGGAGGAGGTGGTGGTGGCTGTGGCACAGAGGATTTAGTAGGGAGTGGCGGAGGAAGAAGGGGAGCTGAAAATGAATTCTTTACTGTAGAAGATGGAGTAATTACCGAGAATGAGGGGTGTTGTGGTGGAGGTGGGGGAGACTGGGATAAGTTGTTGCCTTTGGGAGCTAGAGAAGCACGAGAAGAGGCAGGAAGAGATTGAAGTGAGTTCTTAACCAAGGGAGATGGAGATGCCCTAGAAAAAGAATGTAGAGGAGGGGGAGGGTGTGGGTGTGGGGGAGACTTGAATGTACTCTTCACTGCAGGAGGAGATGCCTCCATAAAAGGTGGTTGATAAGCAGAAGATGTGATTGTATCAGAGTCCTCCACAGCATGACTGCGATCCTCGCTTTCAGATGCATCATGATCATGCAATAGAGCTGTAATGCCAAGAGCTGAAGCTGCACTGCAGTATCTTGATATTGGTGCAGGTGAACCTTGCAAGGAATTGCTACATGACACGGGAGAAGAGATTGAAGACTGAGGAGATCGCTGGGATATAATCTTAGGTTGTGCAGGCCGTTGCAAAGCAGCCTGAAGTTCTTGGGGTTCAGTTTTCTTTCTAATTGAATTTACATCCACGACTCTGATATTGGTGCAGGTGAACCTTGCAAGGAATTGCTACATGACACGGGAGAAGAGATTGAAGACTGAGGAGATCGCTGGGATATAATCTTAGGTTGTGCAGGCCGTTGCAAAGCAGCCTGAAGTTCTTGGGGTTCAGTTTTCTTTCTAATTGAATTTACATCCACGACTGGACTAAGAGACGATGTAGATTGCCCAAGTTGTTCAAGAACTTCATGTTTTTGAATTTCGACATTCCTTGTTTTTGAATTGGCTTCTGGAGATGATTTAATGTACTTCTTAGAATGTTCTGCTTCATGGGGAGCAACATGAAGTTCTTGTGATTCAGTTTTCCCCTTTATTGAGCTTGAATCTGAAGGAGATCCAGCAGAGGGTGTATGTTGTGCAGCCTTTTGAGGAGCAGCCTGTATTTCTTGTGGTTCAAACTTCTTTATTGATGGGTCATCTGATGGTTGACAGGAGAAATTAGATTGTTTCTCCAAAGCATTGGATGTTGGACTTGTGATGATGTGCTCTGATGTCGGTAAATTTGATTTCTCCTTCACTTTATCATCTTGCAAGACACCGGCTCTTTCCACACCCTGGGGACAACCTGTCTCCAAATTTTCTTGTAGTATATTTGCTGCATTTGTATAGTCAGCTTTGCTGAAAACATCTTGACCTTTGGCAAAATCATCGATGGGAAGGTCACCTTTATCCTCAAGACCTGGTAAATCAATTGATACAGCAGAAGTTGCAACATCCACATCGGAGAAAATAACCTTCACCCATACGTAAAATGATTATATACAAGAACAGAATAAACAAAAACATGACAGGAAACAAAGGACAGAAGTAGATATATAATCACATACCTCTGCTCTGAAGTCCTTCGAAAATTGATCCTTACCATTCCATAAGGTGTCAATTTCTTCACGGTTAAGCATCAGAATATTTGATCTTATATAGGCTGTATTGAACATGATCCTGAACATCATTAATTCCCGCTCCTGAACACCGTCCAAACTAATACATTCAAGCACAACATCACCCACAACGTGGCAATAGGTATTGATTTTAACAACTTCAGAGTCCACCTGCAAGAATAAATGAAGAATATAAGATTAAATTCATCTTTGAAGTTGAAAACAAAAGAATTCTCAATGTGAATCATGACGAGGAAGAAGAAGCTTTTGTTCAAAAATAAAAAGTAAATAGTTATTACAGATATAAATGAGGATCGGACTCACTTGCTTGTAATACCGAATAAGTTTACTATTCTTCGGTGTAGAGAACAGAACTTTGGGGGCCTTGTCAGCACCCATAATAGGATCCCGTCCATATACCCTAAATATCGGACGGCAGCCCCCCTCACCATCCATATTAGGGATGAATCTTAGAATAATACAGTCCAGCGTAAGTGCCTTATCTGATGGAGGCCATTCTGAGCCCATATTTCTCCCAGAGACATACTGGAGATACCTTAGTTGAGAGGGTAATGGATTCAGGGGAGACGTCAAATGCAAAAGCTCACGAGGCGCTAGCTTATAGATCATTTCTAATGTTTTCTTCTCCCCGCATAACTGCTTCTGGTATAGTAAGAGAGCAGCAAGCATAAATGCCAAAACCGGCAACCCACCTCGTTCACTATGTATTAAGATCATGTTTTGTTGACCAAGTGATAGCCAGTTTTCACATATTTTCAAGAAATGATGGATCATCTCAGTGGTGAGTAACGGGCAACCTTCATATTGACGAGGATAGTCCATTACAGTCATATCATACTCAGACAATGTGCTAGCAATTTGGCTTTGGTGCTCTCCTTGTTGGAAGTTGAACGCCATGAATGAAGCATCAGGAAAATGATCACGTAGTTTATGCACTATGCCTTCAATGTAGAATTTATATTCCTTTTCTTCCCAAATTTCCGTGGAAAAGCAGCAGTCGAAAGCTGCATATGCAAACGATAGCGCAATGGATGTTAATAAGTGATAATACAACAATACTTTCCAATGATTGAAACGACAACCACATATTCACATATACCGAAACTAGGACCATAATTAACATAAAAAAAATGGTGTTATAAGGAAGCAACATCTATTGTTTAGAGAGGGCAAAAAGGAATAAATTATGACATGATACATCATACTGAAATTAGGACCATAATTAAGTGCAAGAGAAAAAAACAAGTAATAAGCTAATGTCGAACCTAAGCCATTAGCTTATTTTTGCACACATGCTAATGGCTAAAAAGGAAGAATCCTTGCAACCATGGCACCCAGCAGAGTTTACATCAAGACCCCAACTGCTAAGTACTTTCCCTTTTTGCCCTTTTTCACAAACGAATGGAAAGCATTGGCTAGCTGTTCTACGCCATTGCAAGTCTCCAATTAAAATAGTCAACAATGAAGAAAGAATCCCAAGTCGCATTACTAATATCAAGTACAAATTACATAAATATGCATTAAGAATACACAAAAATGGCAGTTTAATCCCATTATAGTTTAACATTCATAGCAGGTAACAGAAATAGAAACGAAAAGCGTACCATAAACCCTTTCAGAGATCTCCAAAAGCCCATCCGGCGGCTTTTTGTTAAACAGCTTCCTAAACAACGCCATTGTCGTCCCAAGATCTGTCAACAATCAAACCATTCCTGAAGAAAAGATACCCACATTCTTTAGCTAATATAGAGAGAGGAAGAGGAAGGTGAAGAAGAAGGAGAAGAAGGGTCCAAATGATTACACTAGCACTTGGCGGAGCAACGAGAAGATTGCTGGGTTTTGAAGCAACGAGTTGTTAGGGAAGTGTCCCAGAAACTTAGCTTTCAATCAAGATTCGAGGGTCGTTTTTAGATTTAGGAGAGAATATTGCGACAATGTTTGATGTCTGGACGTCTGGACAGACAAAGATTTGGTGTGGGATAAATTTATTGCTACGAATAAATAAAAACTAAAAGAGAATCCAAGCATTCTCTCTGTCCTTCCACTGTTTAATCCTTTTTGTTTGTTAATTGTTAATGAATAACGAAAGCCATCAACGAGTGGTCCCTGTTTCAATGTGCTTCCCCTCTCTGGTTTTTTTGTTTTGGTTTTGTATATTCTCCTTCAAAATATAATCATCTTCTACCATTTAGTTATACTCAACAGCACACCTGTTTCACCTTATCCTACGTTTTTTCTGTTTTTTTTTGGCAGTAATCGTATCAGTTAGTTTTAATTACGGGTAATGGTGATTGGAAGAGAACTTAATTTCTATATTACACTCATCATAGGATCTAAGGAAACTTCACCTTCAGTTGGTAGCTTTTAAGTTGATAATGATACCAAAAGTTCTATATTAATTTTTCTTTCAAGAAAACAACGTCGTTTTCTTAGGGGAAACGTACTTTTTTATTCATGCATTTAACGATTGTTTTCTTTACAGGGCCTAATCCGGCTCTCAAAATCAAATCAATATGAGTTAGGTTGTTAAATCGTTGATTGGAATACTAATAAAACACAAAGTTATTTGATTGGAAATTAACAAGAAAAAGGGAAAATGGCCCACTAAATCTAACCCTTAAACAATGGATGACTTTATCCGTAAACAGAAATACAAAAATGGAACAATGCTGGGCACATTAGTCTATTAGGCTAAATTTATCTCTCAGTACTTTATACAATGCATAAATTGTGAATGTAGTCTTATATTTTGATTTTGACTATTGATGAGTGATTTATTGTTTTCATTATTTTATCGTTAATTACTCCTTGTTGATTATTTGATGTTGATTATTTGATATTGCTTATTTGGGTTGTTTTTATTCGATTCTGTGCAGAACATAAATTTTTAGGAAATAGCGTTTAAAGAGTAAGTTCTGCAATGTTTTATTTCTAGTCAGTAATAGCTTTCAGAATGCAATCCAATCAACATTCTCTAAAAGGACGGACGGACAACAATTTCTTAGGATTTGAGTTTACATTTGAATTCATAAAAAAATTGGTAATTATCATTTTGTTATTTAAGATTTATTATTTGAATGTTTTTAGGATTATCCATAGTAATTTTATTTTATTTTCTTTAAGTTTATTTGAAAGCTATAAATACCCCTTAGGGTAAAGATTGAGATGAACTTGGATTTTAATTTGCTTTATTTGTTTTTATTTTATAAAGTTTTCTCTTTTCACTTTTTGGTTTTTACTTTAACTCTTTACTTAATTTTCTTTAAAAACAAGTTGAGTATGATTTCTATCATGCTTATCTATTTTTCTCATTTAGTCGATGTCTTAACGATGACTCAATTCATATTGTGAGAATTAAAAAACACTTCGTATCTTCAGATATCATTATTATTAATTTTCTATAAACTTGGATTGACAATCGGTCTTTCCTTTAAAAATCTTAACCCTTTCATTTTAAAAAGTCGACGTTGGTCTGGATGTTGTTTTGATTTAAATTTTGGAGGAAGAATCGACTGGTAGCAATTCGACTTTCTATGAACACACTTAGCGGCGGTTCGCTAAGGGAAATTGAGATCATATTTGATATTCATTGAGACAACATAATCCGAGTCGGGCTTTTCCAACGCTTAAAGTTGTCTTGGTGCTAACGAAGATAACTGTAGTTAGTCTAAATAAGTACTGAATTTCAAAATTGACTTGGGAATATCAGTTTACCAGAGAGAAAAGTAAGTTATAAGGGTTAGGCTTTGTAGACTATAACCGATATGAATCCCGAAGTAAAATATTTTTCGATGATAAAAAATGAATTGAGGCAAAGCGAAGTTTGAGGCTATTTCCCATCATTACTGTTTTTCAACTATTATTTTCACTCTTTGTTATCTCTTTATTTTATTTAATTTTACTTAGTTTTTATCACTAAATCCTTATTTTCTTTTTACTACAGTTTCCATGCGTTAGAATCAACACAACTCAACATTGGAAATTTTTAAGTTTCTGTGGATTAACCCTTTATTCTCTATTCTACATTTTAATTTGTTTCATTTGAGAAAAAATATTTATTTGATAGTCACAATGTTTTCCAAATTGACGTCGTTACCGTAGACTTCGTCAAATTACTGATATAGTTTTGTTTTGATTTATGACCAGGCAGAACCCGAAAGGGCTAGTAGATTGTGAACCATATATCAAAGTATTAGCTCGTAGAATTCACGAACTTCTGATGTCGATACACACTTCACATATGAAGAACCAGTTCTGATGGTTGATCAAACAATCCGAGAATCGGTTGTGGCACCTGTCATTCAACAATCGTTATGCATCACATTTCCTCATAGAGAAACTCCATTCCAACATAAAATGGGTTTTATCCACCTTCTTCCTACCTTTCACGGATTGTCAAGTGAAAATCTGCACAAAAATCTCACAGAATTTCACATGGTTTGTTCAAGCATGAAACCACAAGGAGTATCTAAGGTTCAGATTAATCTTTGTTCTTTATCTTTTTTCCTGGCCAATTTGGCTAAGGAATGTCTAATTTATTTACCACATAATTATGTTACAACATGGGCTGATATTACTCGACTTTTTCTTTATAGGTTCTTCACTATGGCGAAGGCGAGTGGCTAAAAGAAGAAGCATCCTAGGAGTCTTGCAAAAAGACAGACAATCGTTATATGACTATTTTGAATGATTTAAGAAACTTTATGCTAGTTATCCACAACACTGATTAACTGAACAAACTCATCTTTAGTACTTCTATTTAGGCTTTCTTCCTTTAGAGATCAAAATGGTCGACGCAGTTAGTGGAGGGGTTCTTGTGAACATGACTCCAAATGTGGTTAGAAATATAATTTCTATAGTGGTCGCCAACTCTTAACAGTATCACCCTTCTAGTGAACCCACTTGATGGGCTCACGAGATAAGAACATTTTCTTAAGAAATTAAAATCTATAAGTTGACTGATGTGGTTAATTATCATGTTACAAGTAAAATAGGTACAACTAGACTATGCATAATTTGCACAACACTGAACCATCCAATGAATTGTAATATGATATTACAAGAATATATTGTCGCATAGGTAAATGCAGTGGAAAATTTTCTAGGACCTCCCTAGAGACCTTACAATCCTCATGCCAACTCCTATAAAATAGGTGGAGAGATCATTCAAATTTTAGCTATAGACAGAATCCGAGACCGAATCAAGCATATTAATCAGGGCCATCTCCACCTCAATAGTATCAACCGTAAAAATCATATTTGGAGATGATTATGAAATGTTTGACGTTATCCAAAAAGAAATTTCAAATCAATATCAAATTTCAATTTTAAGAGCTTGAAAAAAAAATGAGTAAACTAGCACAAGCTGTGAGTCGATTGGAATTATAGGGGAAGTTAGTGTCTCAAACTGAGCTGAATCCACGAAAAAACGTTAGTGACATCACCCTTCTAAGTGACATTATTGTCGCACTAGAAGTCCTAGAGAAAGATGTAGCTAGGTCCTTAAAAAAGAAGGAAGATCAATCGTAAACTCTTTCCATGCCATCTCCCTATATCTTTCCACATTCATTTCCGTTGAGTTTGGTTAAACGCGATAAGCAAACAAAAGAGAAAGAAATTTTAGATTTTTTTTCGAGAAAATTGAGATAAATATATCACTCCTCGAGGTAGTCTAAAAGGTACTGATGTATGCTAGATTCTCTAAATATCTCTGTATAAACAAAAAAAAAGACTTATCAACAATGAGAAGATTAATGTAACATCCTCCATACCGGGTTAGTGATCAAATTGTGAAATTTTAAAAATTTAGTGACCAAAGTAGATAAATGGAATAGTTGAAAGATTTAATAGGAATGTTTTATGTAGGTTGGATAAGCAAAAAAGGGAAATTAAGAGGGCAAATGAGTCTTTTAACAAGAGAAATAATTAAATATTACTTAAGGTTATTTAATAAACCATGTGGATGTTAGAAGAGAAGGCAAAAGTTTCCAGATTTCTCTTCTTCTTCTTTCTTCTTCCCCGTGAGACCAAGCTAAAGGTGAGTTTTCTTGTTAATCAAATTCTTGATGAATTTAAGGTTGCTTATTGATCATTGGATGATAACTAAGCTTAAGGAAAGCTTAGATTATCTTAAAACAACAAGATGAGGAGTATATGAAGGATTAAAGAAAGGAAGTAGAAAAGTGAAATCTTGTAATAGAGTTCATAATAAGAATTAGAAGTGGGATTTGACTTGTCATCAAGCTAATTAAGGAACATGAAGTGTTAGAATTAAAATTTGAACATGTTAGAATTTGAGTGAGATTCTTAGATTCCATATAGAAGATTGGATTTCTAAGTTTTAGAAGTATGGAATGACTAATAATTAGTTTAAATAAGAGTATGCAAGTTAGGGATATAAAAGGAGGTGAAATATAAAGTGTAGAGAAGATTATAAATAGAATTTTGTGCTTAAAATGACATTTCTGGGCTATGTGCATCGATGCACATTCAATGTGCACCGATGCATCAAGGATAAATCCCAGAAATTGTTCAAGGTGTATCGATGCACTCTTTTTAAATACAAACATTGAATGCCATCGATGCATAAGGAGTGCATTGATGCATCCCCTTAAATATAAACATCAAATAGGATTTATGCATCGATGCATGGTGTGGTGCATCGATGCATAGCTTCATTAAAAGATGAAAATGGCTTTTCTTTTAGCCAAAGAAATGATAGTTAGAATACATTCATTAGTATACTGATTAGCATCAATGAATTACTCTATAGATACCGAGCCTAAACAAGTTCCAGAACAATTGCTTCGTAAGATCGATCGAGGAAAAAGCAAGGAAATATAGGTGAGTGCATATGCATAGCATGAATATGTATTTTATTCAGTTCTAGACTTGTGATAA